GGATGCCCCTCAGAGCTGCCAGTGGCAAATGCTGGATGTTGCCAATTGCTTCCAGTGCTTATGTAGTAGCGCGTCGCTAAGGATAAGTAATCCTTTCAGTTTCCTGGAAATAACCTGCTGAAGAGCCTGTATCGGATAAAGATAGAAGTGAACAAACTTTCTCCCTCTCTCTTTTTCTAGGAGCTTGTTGAAATGGTCAAAGCAAAGAAAGCTGCCCAAGAACAAGTAGTGAATGCTGCTAAAACGAAGAAATGAGATTCCCTGTGACAATCCTAGTGTGTTTTTGTTTTGTAATAAAAATACAAATACGGAATATGCTTTATTTTATTTTTTTTCCCGGGCAGTCCTGCAGCTCTCTGAGGCTGCCTCTGTTTGCGTTGTCAGTTCAATTTGACAGATTGGGAGGGCAGGCGTGTCCGTTCTGGAAAAGCCAAGCGGTGTCAGGGTGACTTTTTTAAGAGCCTGTCATTCAGTGGACGGGGGGGGGGGAGATCGCCCTCCCAGTCTTGAAAGTTTAACTGTTGTCACAAATCTCTCAAAGGTCTTGTTCAGTCTCCAAGAGAGCTCAGTCCCGAAGCCAACGCATGTTGCTACAGAGTCTGTCATAATCAGGGAGCTGTTCAAGTGGCCCTGGGATGAGAAAAAGAAAGATTACTACTTGGTATCAAAGCTTGCTAAATTTTTAAAGAAGGGAACTTCTTTAAATTAACTAATTAATTAAGTACTTACCCACAGCTGCAACGGCAGGACGCTTATTATAGATGTACTTCGTACACACATCCTTGATTGTCTGAGCATCAACTGCCTGAAATAGGAGGCGTTCACTTAAGAAATGCATTTTGAACAAAGTTTAATTGTGCAGTTTATATCGTACACCCCAGCAAGCTGATCTTCAGTTTTATAGAGGAAAGAAAGGCAGACTTTTACAGCAGGAAAACTACAATTGTGTCACACCGCGCAAACTAAGAAATGCTGATAATTTAGATTTCCCTTCAGCCAGCAGAAAGTCTCACATGCAAAGATTTACAGCTAACAGATTGGCACAGTTGGACACATTTATGAGCACGCCCCCCACATGCTCCTTACTTCAATTCTTGCTTCAAGTTCAGGAATTGGGATTCGGCGATTGTAGCACAACATCTGTCGTCCAATGTCTTCACAAATCGGAGTGGAACCTAAAATTACAGATTCTTAGCATGTATGTTAATTAAACAAACACAGGAAAAAACAAACCAACTTACAGATCATACCATCTAGTTGTAACAGCATGTTGGTCTTCAGGAGATTCTTTGCACGCGCTACTTCGCTTTCAGTAACACTAGTGCACAGATGTATCCTGTAAGATAAAGATGATAAGTGACTATCTTAGCTACCATTTTACTTTGTAGGGCTTTGTTTTCTTCTGTTTTACTTTCCCCCTGGACTATTCAGTAATTTGCCCAGAATAATTAAATAATTCAGAAGGCGGCATTAAGAGAGGGCATGAAATAAAGCTTGTATTACAGCCGGGTTCTGCAAACAGCTACACAGCCAAACCAACTTAGAAGCAAGTGGCTTTTGATGCTAACAAAACCACGATTAGTGACCTTCAGCCAGCCTCTAATCCGCTCATTGGCATTTTATGCCATGGCAAGCCCACTGCTAAGCAGTGAGTGATTTCTATAGTGTTTTGTGCTTTAGGTAAGCTCAGTATTAGAAAGAGATAGAAAGTTCCCTCTGCTTGGCTATCACCGAAATATTATTTAAAAACACTCTTTTTGACTTGCAGTGTCATAAATAAGCAAATCATCTGGATGATTTCTTGTCATCTACTCATGGAATATCACTCCACGGGGGCTTGTTGGCTCCACCTCCAAGCGAAGTTAGTCTCCTTACCATTCCCTCTGAACAAAGTGCATCATGTCCTCTATGGTGGTTCCTTCACAAACCATATAAAGGCCCCACAGCCCAGTATCCGTGTAACAGGTGTTGAAAGATTGGAAGCTGTGACAAAGGTTGCCTTGACACGCAGCTTGAGCAAGCTTACTGGACAGATTCTGTTGAAAGAGGGAAGGAAGCAAGCTTCAACGCCGCTTAGCTTAGAAAAATTGAATCCCATCCCATCCCATCCCAAACTTGTAAGGCGATCTAGAGGCAGAAGTAAGAAATCTAAAAGCATATTGGGGATCCTCACGCAAATTGCCTGCCGCTGTCTTTTTTTCATGGGTCATATGGGCGCAGTGCAGAGGAAACTGAGCTATAGCTATGCACTTTTTTTATTTTCTAAGAATTCTTATATGGACTCTGGCTCTCAAAGACTTTCTTGGAAATAATGTTAGAAGCTGCCACATTCTTTCCATTGAACACAGTGAAAAGCAACCTTAAAATCATAGAGTGTGCAAAGTGTCCAGTGCTCATGGATACACTGATAGCCATGGACGCTGGGTGGTCTACCCTTTCAAGCTTAGGGTGGCTCTCAAGGTGCTCTCTCAACTCCCATCAACCAGAGACGGAAGGGCAATGGTAAAGAATGATGGTAACTGGAGTCCAGCAAGATCCAACAGGTTTTGGTATAAGTCCTCTTTGATTTAAATGGAAATAATAATCCAGAAACCAATGGATATAAATCTGAACAAAAATCACTGCTACTGAGAGTTAAAGACTGATTTTGCCATTTCTGAAAAATATGTATTTCTCATTCCCTCATTGAATTGTACACGGCATCAGGATACACTGGGCTCCAGCACTGATGAGTTTTAAAATACCTTTAGAAGGAATCCATAAATTTAGTTCCAAGATATATAAAAATGTATTTCTTAAACCAGGCTACGTTTTACTAGAAGCCACCCTAGATGCAACCAATAAAGCAGTAATTCTCTAAAACTGCACAGTGGCTCAGTGCCAACTCACCATTCCACCACCAAAAGAACGGTCCCAGTTGCCAATGAGTGTGTTTGCCACCATCAGAGGAATGGTATCTGGGTGACACCAGCCAGCTGCTTCCACAGCAATTGCGAGATGCGCTAAAGGCATTTTATCATCTCGCACTCGGATCTGATCAATCAGGAGAAATGTATACGATGAACAAACGGCCCAGAGAATTTAACTTAACAGACACCCCCAAAACTTTCAGTTTCACAATCTAATGAATATTAAAACTTGCATTTTCATTCCAATAACCCCAATACCTCAATTACAGCACTAATCAGCACTTGGAAGACCTGAAGGACCAAGATGGGGACAGATTGTTCTAGAGAAAATTTATGTACAGGTAGTCCTTACTTAATGACCACAATTGGGACTGGAATTTAGGTCGCTAAGTGATGCGGCCATTAAGCAAATCATGTGACTGGACCCGATTTTACAACCTTTTTTGCTGTGGTTGTTAAACGAATCACTGCGATCGTTAAGTGAATCACATGGTTGTTAAGGAAATCATGCGGTTGTTAAGTGAATCACACAGTTCCCCATTGATTTTGTTTGCCGGAAGCCAGCTGCAAAGGTCACAAATGGCAATCACATGACACAGGATGCTGCAACTGTTGTAAGTGCAAGCTGGTTGCCGAGCACCCGGACCGCGATCACGTGACTGCGGGGCACTGCGATGGTCATAACTTCGGGCACCAGTCGTAAGTAGATTTTTTAGCACCTTCTTCACTTTGAACATTCGCTAAACAAACAGTTGTTAAACAAGGACTACCTGTATGTGGCCGCTAAAAATTGACACCTTCCCTGATGGAATGTAGTCTATCAATCAGTCAATTTCCAATAAAGTTGAAGATACAATATTGTAGGAGTTCACAGAAAACAGAAAATGATCTATAAAAAAATAATCAAAGTAACCCAGAAAACTGAGTAGTAATGCCACAAGTGCAGACCAACTGCTCAAACTGCTTTGAAAAAAAGGCTGATAGCTACTGTGCTCTCAAACTTCTCAGCAGTTTTTGCAGTCAAGCTAGAATATCAGCTAATCGAGTCTTCTTGTGCCATCAATTATTTTTTTAGGCTGCTGTGTCTAAGGCCTAGCTGAGAAGAGAAAATCTCCACTTACTTCACTGCCGGTGAACAGGCAAGGGGGCAAAACCGAAGCGCCTTCCTTCTCAATGGACGGCAAGTTGCCAAAATGGTATTTCGCCAAGTCGAGCAATTCCTCATGGGCAACTCCTAAATCACAGTCATACAGTTTAGAACAATATAAACAGATTGCAGAGAGAAGCTTTCAGAGTTTTCAGTTTAGAAGTAAAAATTATAATAATTGGCTGACCACTGCTCACCTTTAATTATTTTATCTGGTCCAATTCTTCTGGTCTTGCACCAAAATGGAATTAAATAAATAAATATTTTTATAAAAAATCAAGATCATGCAACGCACCAGTGTTACAGAAATCACGTTTGGAAAACCTGCATTTTTGTCCCTCTCTATGTTGAATAAAAGGGAACATAATAACTCCATACGGTCTTTATACATTGCCTTTTGTTTCTTTAGAACCTATCGCCTGTATTTCATTCTTGTCCCCTGCTTAGGGCTAACAGCCCCAAAGTACTGGACTTTGGCACTATCAAAAGACTGACATGGCCCTAAGCAGCAGGGAAAGCCTTACGTTTCCCTTACCTAAAATAAATCACACGCATAAACAGCATTGTATCACACTGACCTCCGGCAGCTGCGAGGACAATTCTGGGTCCTTTATAATGCGTTGTTATATATTCCACCAAATCATTGCGGTTAATGGACCTAAAAGATGAGTGAAATCAAGGGATAAAAAATATTACCCAGCGAAAAAAGGGGCAAAAACGCCGTACCAATTATGAACAGCTTGCCTGAACCTACAATGGACTAAGTGCAGCATTGTATGCTCCGAAAAGGAGTAGCCGCAAGGAATTTGGTTCCACCTCTCCGACAGAAGGCTCGCCATCTACTGCAAAACGAAGAGGCCCGTCCACTGGCTCTAGCTTTGGGATCATTATGCATATACCATTTAACAGAAGGGTAAAGAGTAAGGCATCTCTATTATAAAATACACTGCAAACCTGTAAACCCCAATCAAAGCGATTGGCTCCATTTTCACTTAGCCAAAAGGCAGACTATTTCATCTGCACCTAAGATGCCTTTGCCAGTGCTGACCAGGCCATTTGATCAACTCATGCAGCCCTTGCCCCTGAGTTTTTAGACTTCGTATTTTAAAGTTACAAATAAGTCCATGTTATAAAAGTAGCTTCCTTCAAGCTTGACTCCTGATGACCTCTTGGATATATCCAAGTCATTTTCTTAGCAAAAATATGGAAATGATTCATCTTTGTCTCTGGAGGATAGTTAATTTCCCAGTCTAGCCTATGGTGCCAAGGATTTCCTTGTGGTTGCCCATCCAAGTATCAACCATGTCTGACTCTGCTTAGCTTTTTGAGTTCAGCCAAGGTTGGCAAGGCTGCCTCTTCTCTGGGCAGAGATAAGGAGTTGCACTCAAGTCCTATTCTGTATAGGATAGGCCCAAATTACTGAACATATAAACCTGTTGAAGAACTACAAAACTATCATTAAGGAGGCTTGCAAGGGTTAATACTGTCTGTCATTTATTATGGCACAAGCAGCATCCAATAAAAAGATAGAAATTATTTTTAATCTAGAAGTATAGCATCATGTCTTTGAAAATCAAGGCAGTTTTTTTTTTTAAGCAGTACTTAAAAAAATCAAATGCACAACAAATGCACTTCTCATATGCAAAAGTAAATTGTCCAGAAAGGCTCAAACATGGTGTTTTATCCAATTATTTTCTTTGATTTCCCCCTGGGGGATTCTGGGGGCTCTGCAAAAGCCCCATATAGGATCCTGCAGACTGCTGGTTGTCAATCTGCAACTTAAAGGAACAGGAGCGGAGACAGTGAGACCTACTTAATGTTATCAGTGGGTCCTAAAATAGTCCGTCCCAGTGCTGTATTTTGGTAAGCTGTGGCATGAAGATAATCAAAGACCACTTCCTGTAAGTTGGTCTCAACTTCCTGCATTTCTCGAAGGATCACGCCTCGCTCCCGCTCGATCTCGGCCTCCCCCAGGGTGCTGTTCTGGATGATGTCAGCAAGAATTTCCACCGCTGAAGTCCAAAGAAAGACAGAATGACTATATTGTTACAAAACGCAAAAGAACTCCGTTTAATTCTGATAAGCTTTCTAACTGGACTTTAATTTCTTAATTGGAGGACTATTAGGCACGTACTGCACCCATAATATACATGAGCAGGGAAAAGCAGCAAAGCACTCTTTTTATACTTTTTCTAAAACCTGTCCAAATTTAATAAGTTCATCGATTTTGAGAAACGGGCTAAGCTTATTCTTCTGATTTTAAATGGATTTAACATTACGTCTCAATGCAGCTGGCAGATTTAGGACAGCGATTCGAAATCAGACTGGGGACTAAAGGAAAACATTGCATCTGATCCCAATTAATAAGGCCAGAAGGACGTATTTATAAATAGGTTAATCAAGTTGGGAGGGCACAACTTTATATGAAGATATGAGCATCTTCAGGAACATCCTGCTTTTGTCAGAATGGACAAAAGGGGCGTGGCCTGTATGTGACTCTGCTTTGGTCATTCTGCCTCCCCCTTGGCTCCGCCCACTGACGCTACTAGTTCGCCTTTGAAGACAGTATGGAAGAATATGCCAAAGAACGCAAGGCCAGGACAGAGTCACATGTTTTTAATATTTAATATGTCTTTTGCCAAGGGGCACGTGGTAATCACGTATCTAGGACATTCTTTTTGGAAAAAAAGATTTTCAGAGTACACAGTCACCTGTCGGCAGGTCTTTCGAGAAAGCTTTTGCATAATACACGGTTTGTTCTCTCGAGGTGTAAGCGTTCAGGTGAGCGCCCATGTTCTCAATCTCTAGCTCCAGATCCAGCTGAGATCTCTTCTTGGTTCCCTGCAATTTAAGGATCTGCAATTACTTCAGCTGGAGAGGCAATCAAAAAAGAAAAGAGCCCTGTGACATTATTTCCTGGGTCTTCATCTTAGACAAATGCAACACGCGTGTTCGTCATCAGTGGTTTCAAAGTACTCTGGAAACTGTCCGGTTCGTCATAAAATTCTGGCAGATGACCTGTTTTCGGGTAGCAAAAGCAATGGATCAGGTAATACATAAAACAGATGATTTGGGGAGTTGGGAATTTCGACAGCACCTTACGGGCCCGCAAACAAAATGCTAAAACGGAATAGGGCCAATCACAAAATATCCATTTGCCAGTGAACAAAGTGCTGAAACTGTTTCCTTGATGCACATTTTAACTTTGCAGGATGCTAACTACCAGGGACGGTCCCATGGTGTAGTAAAAAAAGTTAAGATGGAAGCCATGATGGTGCCCTTAAAGCTCCGCCTGTTTTTTAGGTGTAATGCAGTCGCGGCTGCCATCTTGACTTTTCTGACTATACCAGGCAGACGTCCCTAACTACCAACCTATTGTGTCTTATTTCCTGGAAAGGTGGGTGGACATTCAACATAGGCAGCCCACCACTTTTAATTTTTAAGAATCTCCATTGGGCCTCCACGTGGCCCACAAGGATTCTTGTAAAATAAAATAAAAACAATGCCAGAGGCCAGCCTTCGGCTTTGCAACATATCGGGTCACATTTTCAAAATATTGTTGAACCAAAAGGGAAGTGGGTTGGAGGCGCATACTAAGAGAGGGACTGTGGGCAACATATTATTTATTCTGGTATAGGACACTGATATCTTAATAAGAAGTTGATAGCTGCATCTGATTAAAAAAATTAAGCATTTAGATAGCCAAATTAAAAAAATAATATTGTTCCAGCAATGCTGGCACACTCTTAACACGATGAAAGCCATTATCTGAGTTTTCCTTTCTGGCTTCTTCAAGTTGGAAGAAGTCATTGGGGTACATTCAGACAACACAGAAACCTTAAAATGAGCCCATCGAAGAAGACCTCCAGGGTGAATTTCCAGGTAAAATGTGGTAGGCAACATCTGGGTCAGCCCAACATAGTCAATATACATTGAAGGCAAGCAATGTTGTATGTCCTCAACAAGTTGAAATCAGTCAGAATCAGGGTACTTAAGAGATTCCACAGAATGTCAGAAAGAAGCTCTAATTCAACATGTAAAGTAAGTAATCTCTCTTAAGCATAAGGCCTCCAAAGAAACATATTTGATATGTAGTTGAAAATGGTTGTCTATCAGCTCTCTTCCTCTTAAGGCAAGTGTAAGTATTTCCTGGAACCTCTGGAGACTTTTCTTGTTTGAACAGCTTTTACTCAACGGGGGAAAGGTTGCTTTACTCACTGCAGTACTGTAGATTACATAATATAGCAAAATTGTATTTTTCCAGCCTAAAGAGCAGGCTCCAAACAGAAACATTCTTTGTAACAAGGAAAAATGAATGTGTACAAATCCCTAATGAAACCTCTTCACCAAAACAGGTAAGCTCAAGAGACATTTCATCCAAGTCTGCTACACGATGAATGACTCAGCCTGGGTGATGCCACTCCCTTCTCATGCTTTTAAGGTCTGGGATACAACAGATCAACAGTAATCTCTATTCCACCTTTTGTTATTTCTCATAACCACATTTTCTAGAAAGGTCAGCTTTTTCTCAGGAGAATGCAATGGGTTATCAGTTTGGTTCAGTAAATTTGCTTCCCTGGCTCATACCTCAAGCGGAAGATAGCACAGCACCTGTAATACACAAAGCAGGTTGTGCCTTGTATACTACTACAAAATAGAGGTGTACTACTGGACCTCTGGACTTAGTGTGGGCTTCAAATGCCTTGGGTCCAGTCCCTAGAGACGTCCAAACATTGTACTTGAGTTGGAATTCTTAACATGATAGGGAAAAGTTACTAAATACATGATTAGAATTACATCTGCACCTCATTTTAATTGCATCTAAATATATATGAAGTGAAATCTGAGTTACTTTCCTGGCTCCAATCCTTGGCAAGCCATGCAAATGCTTAATGACGCCCTTGGCCCAGGAAAAGTAAACATCTCTGCCACCCTTAATGATTCTCTATGAGCTGCCAATAAAGGCCAGGCCCCATCAAAGAAGCCAGCAGGGCAAAGATGAGAAATAGGCACGATTTTCATTTACATTTCGTTAAATTTAATTCAGTCGTTACTCCCTATTCATTGAATGGCCTTCTCCTACATTACAAATTACAAAGAGTGGTAAGATTTAAAGAGATTCTGGATGTTTTGAGGGAGGCATGAAGTTCTGGGCCTCGGGTTGCACCTACTCAGTTTACAAAGCGTAGGGATCACACAGGCAGTAGATTTTGCTGGGCGCAAGGATCTCACAGAGAAAACATAAGGAGGATTTCCACAGCTTCATAATTGTGAACTTCCTATTATTCTCTAAGTCTTGATGCCGTTTTCAAAACCACTAAGAATTCTTCAGCATTATTTTACACATAAACCAGCTCTCATAGTTGGAAAAAATTCTAAACTAAAATTCTAGTTGGAGCTTGGGGATGGCTTTTATCCCTAACCTGAACCTAGGTATTAGGTTTTGTTACTGAATTAAACACAAATGAATATTTCAAAACCAATATTTGGTCCTTTTTATAGCCATTTTATTTTTTTTTAATGCAGACAGAGCAGTTAAAATAAGTTAAAAACACACGGAACTGAATAAGGCATATGTTGAAATCCAAACAGTAAAATAATAAAACAGTGATCAGCAATGAGGCCGGAAAACAACCTTTTCCAGCCCATTGGCTGCTGATGGCAACTGCAGTGGAGTAGAACCAAATAATTTTTGTAGAATATCTACAAGTAACAACTATACAATCTCTGAGTTGGTCCAATTCCATCCTTTCAAAACCAATAAAAGAAACATATTTTAAGAACTTGCCTTAAAAGCCATATGCTCCAGGAAGTGAGCTGTCCCATTGTTTTTCTCATTCTCGTATCGGCTTCCAGCATCAATCCAAAGTCCCACCTTATTCAAAACACATTGTTTTACTAAACAATAAAATACAGCTTCTAACTTGCTGAGGAAACCAAATACTGATTTTTTGCTTAAATGGTTGAAGCTTTAATATGACAAGTTTGGCTTTTAGGAGCTGGAACATGGAGGAACAGTCAGAGAAGTGTAACTTTTTAGTGCCCTCTTAGACCCCTTTTGAGTGCTCAGATCCATTTATCAGATGTTCCACTTATTGCTCTACATTTCTGATCTATCAAGCAAGCATCTTCTTAATCTGTAGCCCTGTACTCTATGGCTAGGGGACGCGGTGGCGCAGCGGCTTAATGACGCCGATAGTTGCCGGCCAGAAATGGCTGACGCTTCGGCGGTTCGAGTCCAGCCTTCGTGTTAAACAG